ATGCCTTCTCATTATCCCATTGCGCTCTTTTGTAAAGCATCTCGAGACACTTGTTATGATTTGATGCTATACAAATAATGATTTCATGATTGATAATTCACGTCGACTGCCCTTGATATTATTTTATTCTTTGAAAGTGAAAAAGGGTAAATATATGAAATGATAGTATGTTATTTAGAACTTCTTATAATAGTAATAAATGTCAGTTTGCAGCATTTGTCAGTGCTGGCAAAGAGATTTAGGTGGAAACAAGAGCTACATCATCCAGTGATTACTGACCACAGCTGTATGAGTTGAACTGCAGACTTTTGGCATCAGTGCAACCACAGATACGTTTTAAAGCAATGGATTCTTACAAAGAACAAGTGGACTGAAAGTCCTTCAGCCTATAATGCCTCCGCTCCAACACCACAACTTTTCATACCCAGGTGACTTACCCCTAACGACTGTTCCAGAGCCGTGTGTCGGTCCTCCTTCTCCACTGTGCGCCTGCAGTCAGAACACACCCACAGAGGCAGCTGGAGGGGACTGGGTGTTTTGTTGAGCTGTGAGGTACCGTTCTGGCCCGAGATCCCTGCCTCTGAAGGCATGGAAATCTCTTTACGCTCACATCGGCATAAGAGGCATCGATCACCGGCCGTGTAGGGGGCCCGCTGGTTCAGGCCGAACGTGAATGGGGTCTGTGAGGAGAATGTAGGAAGAAGCAGAAAGAGAACATTTTAAAAATCAAGAGGACAGTCAATATAGCATGTGCAAAGTTACTGTTTGATGAAATTTTCAAAAGGCTATACAACAGGGTTAAATCTAAATAGAATGTGAATCTTCATTTGGCTACTATTACAATGTGCAAGATATCTAGTGAATTAAATCATAAAATGACCTTAATATATCATCAGATAGTAAGGACAGTATGGATTCCAGTCTGAGTGGTCTGTATTTGTTTTGACCAGAGAAGGTAGGCAGTTTTAATGGTAAATGGACTTGAGCTTGTATAGCTATTTTCTAGTCTTCTGACTACTCAGAGCTTTTACACTGCAGATCACACCTAACAAATCACACCCATCACACTCTGATGGCAGAGGCTGTTATGCCAAGTGGCCATCAGAAGTAGCTCATCAAATTCATACACATTCACATACATTTATACGCCGCTGAAACAATGGGAGCAACTTGGGGTTAAGCGTCTTACTCAAGGATACAATGGACATATGGCTGCAAGAGCTGGGGATCGAACCCCCACCCTTTCAGAGATTACTGACTCTACCACTGTGCCACAGTCTCTTTTCGCTCTTTTTAAGATACCCCAACATGGCTGTTTGAACACCCCTCGGTTTACCAGATATGAGACCAGTTATCACTGCAAACCAACAGGGCACGCAAACTGGTTCAGATAGAACTGATTCTACCCGACCTGAAAAGCCTCAGCATTTCTTAATAAGCTCCACGACCAGGAACGTGATAAAAGTTAAAACCAGGATAAATATTGGAGATGCATTTTAAAAAGTGGGACAATTTATATCTTTGCTGACTTTGTCCTTTATGTGTGACTTTTGTTTTCTGACAGACAAAAAAAAAAACAAGAAATAAAGAAAGAAGAGCAACAAACCAGATTGTTCAAATATTTGACCGCTATATTTGATTACTGCAAAAGCATAACACCAGCACCATTTGTATATTACCAAAAACATCCAGATGGGTTTACACAAACATAATGAAGCACAGGTGAAGAGTCAATGATTCTGGAGCATCAGGTGGATTATTTGATTTAACATTTGTGCTAAACCAGTTGTCTTAATTGTAGGCAGTAAGCGTCTTACTGATAACTTATTTAGCATGCATGTAAACAGAACAAAATATGTTCAAATAAATATAATGTCATCATCAACTGTCTTGGTGATGTATTCTGGGTTTTCTGTGTAGTTCGTTTCTATGTTCGTAGAATGTCATTCTGCGTCCCCAAATCACTGTCACAGGGTAAATTAATTTGTAATTGAAGCCAATTCTCATCTTTCAGAAAATGTTTTCATGACTTTCCTTGAAATATGGCAAACAGGAAGCTACATTATCAGTGCGGCTAAGATTGAGTTTACAGACAATGATCATGTTTAAGAAGTGTGGCCTGAACGTAAATAATCAGAATTGAATATACTTCATGTCTGTGACGAGGTGTCAGTCCAATCACTGAATGTTTCGAATATGATAGTGAATAAGTGCTATTAAACAGGGACCTGATTAATCAAACTTTTTGTGGCCATTCCATTTTAGCGTTCCTTACCTTCTGTCAATAACATTTAAATGATATTAAGTAGATGGACATAACATAACTACAGAAGAAGAACTTGACAGTGCCCTTCAATAAACTTATGTAACATCTAAAGTACATTTACCTGAAGGACTCCAGAGAAGTCAGCATTCACTGGTCCTTCCGTGAACTGGGGTGTAATGCTGTTGTTCACTTTGACCTAAGGGATAAGAACAGCTCAGTGTTTACATAGAACCGACCCCTTATTAGTTTGATAAGTAGCTAAATGTGGAAAAACTTCATAAAGACGTCATACACAAGTGATTCCTCCATCATAGAGATGTATCAATTCGTTAAGGACCTTTGGCTGAATTACTTGATGTGTAAGTTAATTAATATCCCATTTTAAACCTTTAATTGGTGAAGTGAGGAGCAATATTACGTAGTTCCCAAACTATCTGCATCTGGTTCACTTTCCATGCAGGTGCCAGGCAGGCAATACTGTCAGGCCTGCCCAGGCTAGGCAGGTGAAGTATAACATAAACACAATGTGTCTGAAGCCAGTATTAAGAGGGTTAAACTAAGAGAGAGAGTAAGAGTAAGGGTTAGACTAGAGTAAGGCAAGCCGTATCATGATTAAACACTTTTTCTAGGAGTAGTATCTCTTTAAACCTGTGTATGCTCTTTTATCAATTTGAATAAACCTGGCTGATTAAATGTAATAAAGACAATGTGAGCGTAGGGTTTGAATACAACTCAAAAAGGTGGATAGCTGTGTTTAACCTCTACTATATACATGCTTTGCGAACCTATGATTTAAAAAAAAAAAAAACTACAAAAACAAAGCTAAAACGTGAGGACAAACTTACACCTTTATACAATGATGTCACACTTGATGGAGAGGGAGAGGTCACAATATGTGTGCTCGTTGGTTGGGAGGGGAGTATGTTTTGCACAGTGTAAAAGTTAATACACTGACTGATTACATTCAACAACAATTTGACTGAGGCGCATTATCCTTTAACACACAATAAATACACAATTATAGGCTACACTTACGATTCTGTGACCCCCCCCAAAAAAAAAAGCTTGCCCCTTACTTTCAAACCAACACCAATGAGAAACTAATAAAACAGAAGTAAGTAAAACACCTCAAAGAGTCAATTAAAGTTTCTGTTTTAGTTATAACTTCAAAAGGCATGTCTTGGCTATCTAAAGCCAGACAGCGGGTTTAAAAGGCGTGTATTCTAACAAACACAATCAAGTTGAGCCCAAGACGAACCTTTATAAAGAAAGCAAAATGTAAGCTCGGCTTTTATAAACACACCAAGGCCCGATGTGGCTGAAGTTGTTAGTCCTCTTAACTGTTAGCATTAGCTAGCCTACATGTTTATACATGTAAAAGCGGCCTATCTTCTACTGTGGTGAAGCTTGTAAGCACGTCCAGGTAATCTTGACATTGCCAATGTAATCCCCACCTCAAGTGAACTTTTTAAGAGCTCAAAATAATACCCCCCGCGATGTTTAAAGTTGTTTATTCAGCTACGATCTCTGGACTCGAGCTAACGATGATGGTCTCGGCGTCCTGTGTGTTTACGATAGTTTGAGTCAACACATTTATGACAGCGTGACATATTTGATCACCTGGGTGATTTAGTAGATGACAAAAGGTGTTCGACTGAGTTTCTTTTAGCAGCAGACGCGTTCACTGAGTGAGTTAAATTCATGTTACGACGCGTAGAGTAGTGTGAGCTAGCCGTGTTACTCGCATCGGTGTCGGGCCTCAAATCAGATTTGTGTCATTGATAAAACACGTCTGCACATCCAGCGGCTCAACGCACAGGTGTGACAGTCTTACCTCTCCGTTTAAGCCAGTGATGGAGGCTATAGTCCCGTTGCCTGTGCTGCCAGGTGTTAAAAAACTGACGACAGAGGCAGGTGATGCTGTTCCCGCACAGCCTAGGGCCGAAGCAACCCCGGCCTTGCCACTGCTGGTGTTGCAGACAGCACTGCAGCTACTGCCACCGCCCCGCTTGTTCTTCCTGCGTTTAGCCCCTCGTTTAGCATCGGTTGGACTCATTTTTTTTTGTTCTCCCCCACACACAAGAGAAGCGAGACAACTTTGCCGTCCAGACTTGGCGGGGTCTCAGGTGGAATGCCCGGCGCAATCACTCGGTTGTAAAAATCCGGGGAGAGCGGATTTAGAGACTCCCAAAACGACAGACACTCAGTTCCATCAAAGTGCAAGCCGATTTCATAGATTCCAATATGGCCTCCTAACTGGACTGCCCCCAACTCGGCTTCAGCCTGCGTTGCAACGTAACTGTGCGTAACCCATCTCGGGGCTTGTGGGAAATTGAGTTTATGTGTGGGGGAAAAAAAATCCAGTGGGAGGAAATTGTAGTTTGAATTTAACGTTTAAGAAAAAAGTTTGAACAGCTGATGAGTCGGCGAATTTTCTGATATATTTTACTATGTATATATAATAATAATAATAATAATTATTATAATAATAATATAGTATAATAATAATAATAATAATAATAATAATAATATAATATAATATAATATAATATAATATGATATGATATGATATGATATGATATGATATGATATGATATAATATAATAATAATAATAATAATAATAATAATAATAATATATAAATATTATCAAAAGAATCTGTTAAAATATTAAATTAGCCAATTTTAGTCATTATACACAAACTGCAATACGCACATTTGAACAGCAGGGGGAGATCGCATCTGATGACAAGAGAGAGGCCCCACAGGAGATCTGCTCCACTTTTTCCGGGGTTCGTAAAGCAGGTCTAGTGTGCCTGAGCAGAGCTAAGGTTCACAGATGAAGAATTGGTAGATAATCTATGCAACATTTGCATTAAGAGAAGGCGCACAACCTTTTTTAAATAAACGCACAGTACGGCGAGCGACCGAGGATTTGTGAACTACTCACAGCCCCACTGTTCACGGCTAAATAGTTAGCCACGGCCACACAGAGGTAATGTTAACTTAAGTTTTCATCATCGCCATTCTCGTAGGGCGTTGTGTTGAATATCTGGCGGAATTATAAAATGATGTTAACCATTTTGTTTGCGCCCCACACACACACACACACCCACACACAGTTTTTATCATTTCGTTTCTGCTCTTTTTGCTGTTTAGCTTCGTTAGCTTTAGCAAACAACACGTCAACAAGTGGACAGTTTATTACAATTGACTGGGTGGCAAAACCACGTCAGGATTATTGAATCTTTGCCTCCCAATACACGATTCATCCTCAGCGGAACCATGCAGTTTAACAATAACATTAACATGTGTCGATACTCGCATTTTAAAATGTAATATCGGGTTTTAGACGTCCTTGCTTGTCACGTGATTAAAGCTGCAACAGGTAATGTACCAAACCCGGTGTGTTGTGTTGAAATGAGAAAAGTAGCTTTACCAGCTAAGCCTACATTTGTTTATCTATATTAAACAAGAAAATTACATTTTAATGTATTATGACACATGATATTTTCTATTTGTCATATTCACCTATAAATTATTTTAATTTATTTAGACCTTTATTCGTAATAATGCCTTTTGAATTGTCTTGTTTTCTTCAAAATTAGCAAGGACATGTCTAATGTCCAGGCAGAATAAAATACAATAAAAAGTCACATCATGGTGGGGGTGGATATTCTTCCAACCAGGCACAATCTGGCTCATTCAGGTCATTTCATACCTTCCTATCTGTCTGTTTTCAGGTATGTCTGAAGTTAGTCTTGAAGCTGACTCGGGGAAGACCTCAGCCGAGGACCCTCGGGTGGATTATAAGGAGGCTGAAAAAGCAGAGGAGGGTTTGAAGTTGGAAATGAAACAGGAGATTTTAGACGACAGTAGCGGAGAAGATAACAGAGATGAAGCGCTGTACGACATTGATATTGACAGTCCTGAAGAATGTGCAGAAGACAGTGACAGGGATGTGGAGGAGCAGGATGAGGGAGTTCAGACTGAGAGTGAGGTGACATGCAGGGATGGTGAGGCCACACGCGTGCAAGTCAGTGTAGAAAGTGGGGAACAGGAGACAAATCATCAGGTTGAAAGAGCTGAAACACCAGAGGAGAGCGGCGAATCTCCCACTGAAACAAAGGTGATGTTTGCCATTAATGTGGACAATCAGCCTCCTTAAGCGCTTCCTTGCTGGATTGCTATTTCAAACTTTTTGCTGTGATGGTGGTGGTGGTCTCTTTCCTATGCTATAATTATATTGAATTTAGTTGTGAAGCTCTCTGTCTGAGATAATCAACTACATGAACTTATTCTGCTAAGTGATGTGTTGGTTTTTCTTTCCCAAGTGTTCATTGTTAGCCGGCTTCATTCTGCTTTGCTGGAGGTTTTAAAGATGTAACGCTGGTGTAGCTGTTGCTTTTTGTTGACGGTGCATTTACTGGATTTCTTTCTTTTACTTGCTCTATTAGGTGCTCCATGTAATTATGGATGATCAGGTCTTCATATCTTCCCTTTGCTCTGTGTTCATGCTGGCTTCGACTCAGTGATTTCTGGGACGGATTGATCTTTTCTGTATATTTTCGATGCAATAAGTGTGTTTATATAATGTGAAAGTCAGTAATCAGCCCACATTTTTCTAGTTTTCTACATTTTTGCCTTTGATTTGACACGGACCCTGTGTGTGTAAGTCAACATGTACATGATGTCTAAATGAGACTATTCCTCGCAATGTTTTGAAGTTGAACTCTTGAGTTTTCCAGGCTGTCAGTCACATGGCGAGACACGTTTGGACTGCACTTTCTCAGGCGAGCAGTCCCACATTTCTGGTGTTGCTGGAATGTGTGACTCCCCAGGCTGTTGATTCATGTTCTGTGTCAGGCAAAGAGCCAGCGCTGCACACTCAATTGCAAGAATTGTAAATCATGACTTTCTCTCTTACGTTCTTCATTTAATAATCCTAAAATTCAGAATGGTTGACCTTAAGACATTTTTTTGCTGTTTAAAACCTAGCATTTTGCAACGTGGATGTGTCACGTTCCGCCGTAGTTTAAAAGGCAAGACATGATTCTTTCCTTTTCAGCTGACACAGCCAATCGGACAATTAGCTCATTGTTGTTATGCCTTCCTCCTACGTCATGTCAGCTCGTATCCAGGATACTGGACTATAGGGAGCAGCACACTATGGCATGCCATACCTTGCCCCTTCTTATGCCTGATTAATTTGCAGCCACTTTGCTTCTCTCTGTGCTCCAGCAGCTGTCTATATTAGCAGAGTGGTTGCAGGTGGTGGGTCGGGTCATTTTGGCTCACAGAACCCTGATCATCTCTGGATCTGAAGCTGAATCAGGCCCACTATAGGTTTGCAACTAAAGTAGATAAGAGATGCATCGATAGTTATGCTTCAACTGCAAAGAAACAAATCAACACAGAAACATAAACACAACACACAGCTAGTCAGTACATTTAGCTAGAAACAGGCTTTGTTTTTTTAAGCCATGTAATCAGAGACTCTCCTCAACCAGACAGCCTGTTAAAACTTGATATAAGCGTGAACAGTAACACAAAAGTGTGTCTTATCTGCTGAAGCTGGTTTGACAAGCAGTGCTTGTCTGTGTTGCTTGCCTGCATGCCGGACTCATATGGCGATTAAGTATTTATGTGGCTGTCACATGACACAAGACCCAGTAGAGTCTTTCTTACACATGAAATCATTTAACCACTCTGCTTTGGTCGTTTTCATGTGTTTACATCTGATTTGGCATATCAGAAATCAGTTAAAATGAACACACCTTCTCCTCTCCATTTGAATTTCTTCTTCTGGAACAGATTTAAAACCTAAATAAGAAAACGAGCAGTCTCAGATGACACACTGTCAACAAAGAACAATACTGAATCTACATGTATCTCGATATAAATCCCAATTAGACTCCAGTTAAAGTTTTTTTCATGATGCTATCATCAGATCTTTGTTTTTAATATTATTTCATTATTATTATTTCCATTTATAGGCCAAGCAAGACTTGATATTTTATTCTCACTGTTACTTATTAATTCTATTAACAAGGATAATTCAACACATGGCGGTCTGTAAAGACAAAATAGTAGGTTAAGCTAAATAACAGATTTCATCTCAAAGCTTAAATGTTAATTTTACATTTGTTTGGAATATTTGAAGGTTACCCACCCTTTTTTTTTTTTTTCGACAGTGAAACAAAAAGTCTGTTAGTCTGTCAAGACTAGACCCAGATCCTGTTTCCAGGTGATCTGGCAGCTGTTTGCATTATTAAGAGACTGGCCAAGCTCCACATGTTGGTAAAGGATCTAATTCAAAGATACAAATTCAGACATATTGATTTCTACATATTCTGAATTGTACACCCTTCTGCAAGGCGTGCCACTGATCATCATTGACCAGCTTTACACTGTAAAGCCTCACAAAGCTAGCAAGTGAAGCTTTATAGTGCTTCGGTCATTGTCCTAGTTCACAAGTCCAATGTGATTAAGTCACGGAAGTTGGACCAAAAAAAAAGCACAGATGTATGATCAGCCTGCAACTACAGGCTGCCACGTTACTATAGTCTGAACAAAAGTGTTGGCTCCACCCTGTGGCTGCCTGCTAAGAGCCAACACATGACTGTGCAGCAACTGCAAACTAAGCCAAGCCAACATATCAGTGTCATTTTAATCCTCTGAGACGATTAAGAGAACACGATTGATTTTGTGTTCATGCATATTAGAACAGGTCTGTCCACATGGTTGTTATTTTCACCAGAGGCTGAGGGAAATCTTGTTCCATATGTGTTTCTGCATCACAGGATAGACAACAAAACAACCAGTTACAAACCAGAAACACGAGGTTGAATGTAGTCTGAAATGAATAGATGTCACTGAAAACCATGATTAAGCCTTTTAGTTGCCAGGAAACAAACCTGATATTGTCTCGCCCAGACATTTCTATGGAGGAAAGCAGGAGGGGTGTCACTATAACAGAAATGTAAACTTTGATGTGATTCTAGCACAACTAAAAAGATACTAATGCCAACAAAAAAATGTCCTAGGTTATCTATAAGACTTTTCTTGAAACTCCTGCACAATCAGCTCATTGTTGATTTCAATGTGCGATATAGACGGTGTCACATCCACTTCCCTGTTTGTAAAAGACATGAACATCATTTTTGCATATTTATCAGATGCCAAAAGAGCATGAGCAACATCAGTTTGCTAACCTGTGAATTTGAATATCTCCCTCTCTTTCTGCTGTGGTACTTAGATGGTGTCGACCATTAAAAATATCAATGGTTATATCGTTCTTTAAGATGTGGTTTTGAAAAGGATCAAAACATGAAAAGTTCTGACAGCCTTAAAATTATTTCTGTCCTGAAAGATGGCTTGATGCTCTTGGTAAAAACTAACTTTGATGCCTGTTTTTTAGCACTTCACTAAAAAAAGTGTTGTAAAATAGGGGAGTGATGAAAGTTGATGTCAGTTGTTGCTTAAGACCTTCAGCGTCTTTCCTGGTTAATGTCGTAACTTCAACCACTTGGAATTGAATGATGTAAAATTAATGAAAGAAATCTTTGAAAAACGACGGACTGAACAAAATAGAGCATATGTTAAGAAAAAAATAAATAAACATATCTCAGTGTTAAATGATGGAATTGTGTTCATTGGATCATGTTTAACTTAAAACATATTCATACAGAAAAGTTATTATCAACAGTATTGAAATCTGGCCAAGCCCAATATCTTCTATTCTGGCCACAAGATGGCAGCCAACAACTGCGGTGCCTCACTAGTGGAACCTGCATCCTTGTTTCTTTTGAACTTGTTTGGGTAGAGCTTTTAAAGAATGACTTTCTTCATTTCTCTCCTCCAACCTAAAGGAGAGCACCATGGCTGAGGAGCCCAGTAGAAGCTCAGCCGCAGAGATCCCAGTCACCAGCAACGGAGACCTGGATCAGAGCCCTGAGACGGTCTTCCAGAGGGTAAGGGCTTGTGAAAGAACAAGACACTGTAATGTCCTTGTAGTGGGACAACATATTTTATTGATTGGTGATTCTTCAGGCAAACAGCATCACATTAAGGATTAGTAATGACAACATTAAAAGCTAAATTTAGAAACATGACGGATAAAAGCAATAAAAAGATACAACAGTGACATAATGACTATAAACTAAAATGTGTGTTATAATATATTAATAAAGAAATAAAAGATGGGCAGCAGCAGGTTTATAGTGCAAATATGACATCTTTTCTAGAAAAGCATCTTGTGAAACTTCATCATCGTCTCAGACAAAGTGCATCTACTGGTTCTGTACATTAAACCTGGAAGAGGATTCAAAGTCCTTTCATTAAATCTGCTGATTTTCTCAACAGAACTCTCCTTTGTTCTGACTATTTTATCTCTCATTGATGCGGAAATGACATCTTTCATTGAATTGGCTTAACAAAAAATAACACTAGTCTCTAAGGCTTATTGATAAGAAAAAATGTTTTAAAAAATGTTATTTTTATTTCAGCAGACATTCAAATCTTTTTTTTTTTTTCAATCTAAAATATAATGGAAAGTATTTGGGCCATAGCTAAAATGTTCTTCTGTAGTTTTGACCAACAGTACAAACTAAGTCTGGGTGATAAAATTATCGAGATATAATTCATAACATAATACGGTAATTGATATTGTTTCTCTCAATATAAATATACCAAACGTTTGATAGATTTAAACTTATAATATTCCAGAAGACGTGAGGCTAAAACTGGCAACACCAAAAACATTTTCCACCATTTGAAACAATATGACCCGTTAGAACACAGAGAGCAGCTTAGTGTGGATCCTCAGCAAGCAGCGGACCAGCAAGTGTTACTGCCCAGCAGCAAACTGTCATCTCAGCGTTTTTCCCAGCACTGTGCTTATGATTGGGATATGTTCCTCTGTTCAAGTAGAGTTTGTCATGTTCTGAAAATAAGAATAATTAAACCACGATACACTACCTGGTTTCTTCAACTTTCACTCAGCAGGTAAAATAAGCCTTTCAATTAAAAATAAATAATGATGATTTATCGATATCGACTGATCCACATTTTTGTTGTGGTAACGTTTTTTGTGATATAACCCAGGCCTAGTACGAATGTTAGGATTGAGGGGATTATATGGACCATTTTTATTCAGTTTCGGCTGTTTTAACAGAAAATAATTGGAATGTAAAGGCTCTGTATTCATAGGTTATTGATTCAGTGCCTGATAATAAAACATACTAGCAAAAACCAGGTTCATGCTGAGCATAACGTTCATATATATAAAAAAAAAAGATCTTCAATTATATTTTATATTACGTATTATAAACTTATTAATACTTAATCGCCATATGAGTCCGGCATGCAGGCAAGCAACACAGACAAGCACTGCTTGTCAAACCAGCTTCAGCAGATAAGACACACTTTTGTGTTACTGTTCACGCTTATATCAAGTTTTAACAGGCTGTCTGGTTGAGGAGAGTCTCTGATTACATGGCTTTAAAAAACAAAGCCTGTTTCTAGCTAAATGTACTGACTAGCTCTGTGTTGTGTTTATGTTTCTGTGTTGATTTGTTTCTTTGCATAACTATCGATGCATCTCTTATCTCCTTTAGTTGCAAACCTATAAAAGATATTTAAAAAAAGATCTTCAATTATATTTTTCTTTAAAGTTGGTCTAAATCTATAATTTCCAGTCTTTTCTTTCAAGTTACAAACACACATACAAAAAAAATATGTATGTATGTATATGCATGTTTAAGAGGCACCACTTAGACTTTTGATATAAAATCTGTTTGACTTTCCCTGTAGGACTCTTACCCCAGTGGACCTGTGGCCCTGAACCTCTCAGAGTCCTGTGTCATCTCCAGTAACTTCACTTCAACAGCAGAGGGCATCATTGAATCAGGACCATACAGAGGTAAAACCTTCACACCCAACTTTAACTGTGCTACTCTTATTTCAGTTTTTTTTTTTCCTGCTCTTCGGTCATCTAGGTTTTGTGACAAAGCAGCTTTATCAGAATCAGGCCTCATTTTGTGACTGCTCTGCAGCCTTCTGTATTTAAACAGACTTTCTATAATTCACAGTGACTTGCTTTATTTTTAATCTCTGAAATTTGAAAGGCACTGATTTGAATGTGTAAAGGTGGACATTCAATTGAATTTAAATGAGTTTCCTTTGATGTCCATGTTGTAACCCTCCTTTCCTTTTCATCATGATTCCCTTATTGTAAATGCAAATATAAATCTACCCTTGGAGGACTGAGATGTGTCACCGACTTACCACATTGTTGCCATGGCTACTTTCCACGTTGTTTACTCTGGTTTAGTCACACGCTCATCCACTGAGCCACTCGGTGAAAAAACCCAATCAAAACAAACAAAGAAATCAGCATCCATGAGAAACTTTCCTTTAAACTTATGTTGGCTGAGATGGTGACAATCTAATGACTCCAACTGTAACTGTGAATATCTCCCAGGGTCAGCAAGCCTGCCCACATCTCCCGTGGCATCTGTAGCTCCCAGCTTGGCTGTTGCTAGCCGCCTGGCACGCTCTTCCAGCGATAGTCAGGCTGAGAAAGGTACCAGCAGTGAAGGAGTATGAAACAGATGACACTGAATCAGTCTCTTCTTTCACACTGAAATAACCACAGTCTTTGGTGCCTGTCTTGTTTTTCATCAGTCTGATACCTTGCTCCTTGTTCCTACAGGCTGTCCTGCATTCAGAATCAAACCTTTCTTCTTCTCCTTTCTTGCCTTTAGCCACTCTGAACTTTTACCTTTGAATAAGTCTTTAAGAAGATTTCTGCTTTGATGCTACTAATGACAAGTGTTTGCATAATCCTTAGAGTCGTTTTCCTAAGATCTAGATCTAAAGATTTCTAGATGTGATGCAACCTCTTGATTCCTAAAGCATCTGCTTGGATGGGAAAAAAAACTGCTTGCACATTTAATCTCAGTGGGTTTTCCTGCTTATTACCTTTTGTCTTTGCAAAAGTTGTCACCCCCTAGTGTCTTTCTATGGAGCCCAAAACTGGCACATGTATTAAAAGCTTGTCAAACACAAACATAGCTGACTATATCAATACACTGGGTTATAGTCGACTTATTAGTTACATTTAAGAAAGAATAACCAATATATATAATACTTTGCCTCCAATGTCCAGGCAGTTGGAGGGGAAAAAAAGTTAAATCTTTATACATGTTAACACCTTTAGGTGAAAAAAGACCTGAAACTAAAAACATGGGTCACAAAACATGACCACCAGTCTGTCAGCGCAAGTAAGCTAGCTCACTAAATCTATCATTATTTATTAAACTACAGCAGTCAACTGATATTTGTACTCCTATAGTTACTGCAGTGTGTTACTGTTTTGGCATTACTGCGTAAAGTATCAAAAAAAAAGTTTAACTTAAACACTTTGTTAGCCGGCTAATGGTTTTAGCAAGTTAATTTTTTAGCTAAAAATGAAAAGCACATTTTTTAGCTCGCTCTCTTTGTTAGCTTTTCCGTAGGGCTAGTTTAGTTTCTAGTTTAGTTTGTTTAAAATAACAACAGACATTACGTAGCCTTATTTTAATGATAACACCATGAAGTCTGTGATTTATTTTCCATCCTACAACCTGATTACATTTGAAGAATAAATGTACTTTAAAAGGAAGCATTAGATTGCTAGCTATGTTAGCATTAGCGTTCCACCAAAAGCATGACGTTTAAAATTTTCTTTTTGACCTACTATTTCATGGTTAAACTAAAAAAAAACGATATTATTTAGTATTCAGCTATTCCTTTGACTCGTCTTATAACCTTTGAGGCTTTGTCAGTTTTGAGGCTCGATATTCTTCCGTATTCTCCCTCCTGCACTTCACATAACTTTGGGCACTAAAGGAGTTGTCAGTTGTGACTAATAATTTCTATGATTTTATCTAAATAGAAAAAAATCAAGATGTCATTAGATTGTAGTATGTGCTCTGTATTAATGTAAACTTGACAATCCCTTCACACTGTTTGATAATCATAACGTTTCAGTCGTACCACCTTGAATTTTTTACCCCAGCTCTCTAACCTGCAGTCTAATAACATAATCACTCATTAAATGAAATTACTTTTGATTGTTCAGGCGCAGGAGCAGTGGTCCTGTCAGATGACTTAAAGAGTCCAGCCATGGAGAAACTGGATCTTGTGAGAAAGTGGAGCATCAACACATATAAAGTAATCATCTGTGTCTTAATTTTTAAAGTCCTTCCTCTACCTCCCCTCTTCTTTCTGTATTTTTTTTACACCTTTTGTCCTCAATGTGTTATCCTCTGTTTGCAAAAAAAAAAAAGTTCACTATACCTCAAACTAACTTGCACATATTGTTGCTTGTTTTCTTGCTTTAGACACCCTGTCCATGTGATTGTCTCTTTACAGTCAACATTTTTTTCTCTCTTGGAGGAGTATTTTCAACCAACCAGTCATTCCTGATGTTTCAAATTGGTCTAAAGCTCTTATCAGTATGTATGTGTGATCATTAGCATGCTGTCCTCCGCAGTGCACGAGGCAGATCCTGTCAGAGAAGCTGGGCCGGGGCTCGAGGACTGTGGACATGGACCTGGAGGCTCAAATCGAAGTCCTCCGTGACAACAAGAGAAAGTACCAGCATGTAATCAAGCTGGCTCAGACACTGGCCAATCAGCTTTCTCAGATGATGCAGACACAAAGGCAGCTGGGCGACGCCTTTGCTGACCTCAGCCTCAAGTCCCCAGAACTCCATGTGAGTCCATATATCATTCAGATATACTTTTTATGTTCCCAATTAATAATCTTTTTTTTTATTATTAGATGGCAGTTTAGTGTCACTGTTTATAGATGTGGTTTATGCAATTATCAGCATCGTACAATCTTTACATGCTTTAAAGTGAGCAGTTTAAATGGCAGTAAAGAGACAATTTAAGCCTTCTAGGAGGTCCTAAATCACTTCCTGAGTACTCTAATAGTGTTGTAGGATTTATCAATAATGGTTAACGTTTCAAATACTAAATTCATTTTATGAAGTTCAAATCACAGCATACGCTTCAGTAGTTTTACATCACAGAAGCATGTATGTATTTGATCAGCTATACATTCATAATTACTGTTTAATCATGATCATCAAACAATCTTATCTCTGTTCTTCAGGAGGAGTTTAGCTACAACGCTGACACCCAAAAACTTTTGTCCAAAAATGGAGAGACACTGCTGGGTGCAATCACCTTTTTTATCGCCAGTGTTAACACTCTTGTGGACAAAACGATTGAGGACACCATGCTTAACATCAAACAGTATGAATTTGCCAGGTAGGTTATACATGACAATATGTGGGTTCCACTGTTCTTGTCTTCGAAAATGTAAGGACTGGGCCATCGTCAGAAGTCTCTCTGGTGATGAATAAAACTTGTGGCATTTTGTTGAACAAAAGAAAATGTAAAGTTTGAAGTTACATTTTAGAAGTTAGAGTTTTAAATTCAGAAACTAACAAAATTGACTTTTTCTTCAAATCAAGAATGCTCCGCACAAAAGCTTACATGTGCATTCAGATTCAAGAAGATATATAAATGAGCCTGTATCCTGTATTAAAATATCACACAGCGTATGTATGTATAAGTTAAGTTTTCCTTAAGCCTCTTGTCAGTTTTACCCGTGAGGTCTTAAGTTTATTAATGTTTTTCTTCCTTCTTAAAAAAAAATTGCAAAGACAACCAGTCGAAAGAAATTACTTGTTACTTCTTGATTTTTTTTTTAAATATCTGTAACCCTATCTACACACGTATAACATGTCTCTGACATTCTTTCATTTGCATCACACACTTCTAGAGTTGAGTATGATGCGTACCGTACAGATTTGGAGGAGTTGAATCTGGGGCCACGTGATGCCACCACCATGCCCAAGATAGAACAGTCCCAGCAGCAGTTCCAGATCCACCGGGAGAAGTACGAGAGGATGCGAACCGACGTCTCTGTCAAGCTGAAGTTCTTGGAAGAGAACAAGGTCAGCAAGACACTAATTCTGCTCTTCATAATGGCTGTTAAATTCACGTGTGCTCATCATGTTTTTGTTTCTCTGTGTATGCAAACAGGTGAAAGTATTGCACAACCAGCTCATCCTGTTCCACAATGCCATCGCTGCGTACTACGCTGGAAACCAACAGCAGCTGGAACAGACACTCAAGCAGTTCCACATCAAGTTGAAAATGCCAGGTGGGGACAGTCCATCGTGGCTAGAAGAGCACTAATCACTCATTTATGAAGCCACAATGGCTCAGTTTGACAGGAAATGTCAAATTCTACAAAAACTACAGGAACTCCCCTCCTTCCTCCTTTCTTCAGCTCTCCTGTCACTGCCTTTCAAACTTTCAGAATTGTAAGTCTTATGACTCATGCAAAACATGAAAAAGACAAAATCCCACAATCTGTTTTGCTCTTGATGTTAAATAATCCTTTTCATATTGCAGTTATTTGAAAATGTAGGAAATGCACTTTTATATTGTTTGACACATCAGTAAAACAGGAGTTGCTGCAGTAAACTCATTTGGAAACTGTAAAATGGCCTTTTCTACTCCAGCAAATGAATGTTGTATCTCCCCATGTCAGCTCTGTAAGGGCATCGACAGGATCAAAACGACTGCCATTATTTGCATTACTTTTTATCAGCCCTACTCAAACAAAGATGAATGCTTTATAGATTTAAATCTGGACACTTGAGAAGACTCTGAACATGATGTATTTAATGATTTGACTTTAAAACGGTCCTGATATACTGATCACAACAGCAGGTTTCAAGCTTCTTGATCATGCAAATAAAAAGCTAATTGACTCTGATTTAAGTGGTAGTCGACATATTGGGAAATCACTTAATTGCTGTCTTGCTGAGCGTTGGATAAGAAGATCAACACCACTTTCATATTTGTATATTAAATATAATGATTCAGCTGCCAGCTGCTTTTTTGGAGCTTAGCTTAGCATTAAGACTGGAAACAAGGATAAAAAGTCCTGTTTACCTCATTCAAGCAAAAAAACAAAGTTTAAAAAAAATAAAGTTGAGGGGTTTATGGGAGTTTTTTTTTTTTTTTCACAGCTTAGGATAGAGCCAGGCTAGCAGCTTCCTACTGATTCCTGTTATTATGCTAAGCTAGGCTAACCAGCTGCAATCTCTAAATTCACATTTAATGTACTGATATAAGAGTTATAGCAATCTTCTCATCCAACTCTGGAGGGAGAAAAAGAGTTTTACCCAAAATGCCAAACGGTATATTTAAAACTGATATTCAAATGGAAGAGAAAGTGGCTTTCCAAAACAAATCATGAATATTGTGATATGATTATGCCACTTATATTTGACATCACCCTCTTTTTTTTTTTTTTTAAGCATTTGCCTATTTCTGTCTCAATTCAGGCACATGACTGAATAGGTCAAAATGTTGTTTTTTTTCCAGAGAAAATGAAGGACCAGCCTTATGTGACTTAATGTGCCTTGGATTCTTGAATTGTTCCTCTCCCCCTCTGTGCTGATAGACCTAGTCCTTATATTATATTGTTATTAAACAGGCGCTCTCATTACCAGTTTTTCGGGACCAACTCTCTTAAAGGAAGAGAAAGGACCAAACATATGCACATGCACACACAGACTTGGACTAAGGATGTACATATAGAGCCTATTCAACTTTACATCCTAATACACTCCACATTGCACAAAATAAAAGCTCCGTTAAAAACAAGTGCACCAGTAACTTCACAAAGTTCTCATGTATTTTTAGGACTTGCTCTTCTCAAAGATATTTATCCATATTGCACATACTACCATTTATGCATTTGAGACTAATTACAAAAAAAAAATCATGTATGATATGTAAGTTGAAAACCAAAATGCGATTAACTTGAAAAACTTTTTAGCAAATTTGAAAGACCCGCATCCTTTGCCTGAGCTGCTAACGGATTCTTTCATTGGACTATATAAAAGTATATTTTTCTCAGAGGACACATATTGTATGCTGGTTTTGATAACCTGCTGTGTCATCCTCACTTTGTACTATGATAGCAGTTTGAGGGAGTTAATCTTTTACATCAATCTACTGTTTCCCTAAAATAGATGGATATATATTTGTAATTTTCTCTATTTTACCTCGAGTATGTAGTCAGTGACCAATGCTGCAGTTTGGCTTTTTTTATTCCCTCGAGACCTCCAGAATGATGTGCTAGTGGATCTCTACCTTTTTAATAATGAAACATTTACAACAAATGTTGAGTTAAGAAAGTATTCTGAATGTCGTGTAACTTCTTTGGGAAAATAAAAGATTATTTTGAGCATCTTCAGAGGTTTTTTGACTGTTTTTGTGCTGCAACTTTCCAATGAAGACATGTATGGCAAGGAAAAGCTTTTTAGTCAGTCTGTGTAACATAGGGTTAAATTAAATACGGGCAATATGGGGCCAAGATAAGCTTTGACATCCCATGTGAGAAAATATAGTTCAATTAAACCTGTTCTTGTATAAACCTGTGAATCTATGTATTGACAGTGGTGGTTAATATTCTGTTGACATATGGATCTGAATCGACTCATGTTGATACAGGTCCTCAGGTGTTTTTATATTTACCTTTAGGTGTTCATAATCACAAACCCACCACACCCACAGGTACAGCCTTCATTTGACAGGATCTGGATAATCCTTTGAAAAGCTGTGAGGATGTTGATTGCTGCCTCAGTGTTGTCTTTTATCTCTGTGGCTCTTCAGAGCAGTGTGTTAAGCAAATAGAATTACGGTACTTGAACCATACTTACAGTGGCATTTTAAGTGTTTTCAAAATAATGAGGGCCCATGAAGATTTTACAAAAAATAAGTGGGAAAAAAAAGTAAGATGCATTCCTACTACACAAGGTTATGTTGAAGTTGACATGTTAGAAGATTTTGAAATCTGAACACGCAAAAATATAAAGGCAGAGGTAAAAATATTTTCCTGAATAATAGAAAAAAGTGTTGGTATTTTTAAAACAGTGTTGATAGAACTACTTAGCCTACTTAAATCAAATATTATAAACATAGTGTTTATTTAGGACTATTCTGTTACAAGTTTAACAAATAAAGCCAAGTTAGACTATCTTCACATAGCTTATAGTTTATGTTTTCCCTGGCATAAAATCAAAATGTTAAATAAAGTACAAATAGCCAAATGTGTTATTATTAGTTAAATGTACTTTGGTCTTGTGACTTTTTTTTTTTTATCACAACTCAAACCTTATAAAAAAATTATACCTGTTGCACAAGCCCACCTGAGCCTGTATCACTGGAAACTGTTATTGCACTATTGTCCGCAAGGCACGCTGCAAGTAGCGCGCGCAGGGTGCACGCGAGCGCGCCTGTTCCACCTGGCCCAATCACGAACGAGGAAGCTCACAACACTAGTGCCGCCTGCTGCTGCTCAATGCATCTCCACTGCAGGTCGGCCAGGCCACCAGCAGCATCTCACCTGACTGCTTGATAACCTGAAACACGCAGATTTTCTCCTCTGAAAAGTATCGACCACTAACCCCAGCGGTGTCGGTGTCCCAACGAAGCTTCTCATCCCTCCGGTAAGTGAAGCAGGAAGGCACCGCCGCCGCATCCTGCTGTGTGTGGATGTGAGATTCATGTAACGACCCGCTGTTACTCTGCTGTGAAAAGTCATTGCACTGTGAAAGTGCACTCTGTGTATCCATGTTAGCAAAGCAGGGAGCGTTATATCCTCCTATCAGCATACTGTTTTATTTTATCTTTGAGCATTTAAGTGACACCAAGGTGTCCTGCAATGCAGTTAGGATCCCAAATTACATCATTATGAGCATTTATTGTAGTTTGAGGCCTGAATCTGTTGCTCTGTATGCTTTGCAAGGAACCGATACGCTTATTGACACAATTTTAAAGATTTAATTTAAGAACTTGTTCATATTCATTTGGCTAAGAAATGTTACTTAGTTCAACTTTAACTCAATTATTCGTAGGCTAAAAGAACACTGGAGATATTAAAGTAACATCTTCCATTTGAAAGTTTTCATGTTTTAGTTTTGCCACATTTAATTAAGCTGTCTTTGTTGACTCATTGAATCACATGAAAAAATGACCCTTTGATGTCAATACCAAAATATGTTATAGTCACTGTTACATAGTAGTGAGAGCCTATAAATACTTCACGATGAGCTAAATCTGTTATTGCTAAATATTTCTAGTTGTCACTTTAAGAGGAGCATTTTTGTCAATGGCTGTGGGAAAACATTTCGCCTGAATATATAATGTGCCCACTTCCATGATCCATACATTTATATATGGACAGAATGTAGCAAGTGATTTTACATTATTATTGTGCTGTTACTCATTGTTTGGTGTTCAATAACAAATCATAAAGTTCAACATGTTTTAAGTCAATATTCATTTATAGCCAATTATTTAACAAAACTCACTCAAGCTTAAAATGAAGCTTTTTTTTTTTTTTTTACGCTATTTTTGCCTTGAGTGACTAAATAAAAAAAGCAGTGTTTTAGTGTATGGGTGGTTGTTGTGGATTCACACACAGCATTGTGTGCCTCATCCCCAGCTCTCTTCTTCATGTCTACAACACTCTGACCCTGTTGGTTTTTATTCGGCACCTCAGACCCCGGCTTTTGTACACTTTTATGCACTTTTTTTTATGCATGCCGGGATGAATTAGAGGGCAATCCATTCAAGTGTCGGGAACAATACCCCCGTGGAAAAAAAGACTTCCCGGGTCAGGTCAAGGGAGAGGGCGCCCCCCCCCCCCCCCTTTCTCGTTGCTATGGAAGCGGAGAGACACACGGAAAACTCAAGTCTCTGACGTCATCCCGAGGAGGGGGACATTGGGGGCTTGATTTATTTCTGTGGGAGCAAAGAGGGGCTGAATAGTTGTTGCGGAGGTGGGTCAACTGGAGCCGTCTTTATAGCCTGAAAATTGGACCCTATCTTGTAAATTAAATTTGAGTCTGCATTGGAAAAACCGAAAAAGGAAAGAAAACATGACGTAAAGAAATTAGGTACAAAATAAAAAGTTCTTTGGTGGCTTTTTTCTTATGTCACGCCCCAAACTCCCACCCATGTTACCACCCAAGTCTTAGCTATAAAGTGCTTCATGTTTTAAACAATACCTGTGTAACACAAGTAAACTATGCAAAATGTGTCGCCAGAATCCAAAATGAATAGAAAAAGCATAACTAAACCGATAGTAGCTGATTGCTATTTTCAGTTTCATCTGGCTACATCGCAATGAAGTGAAAGAAATATATACAGGCCTCAATCCATAGGTGAAATGTAGGCTAGGAGTTATAGGGCTGAAGCATATATTGTTTCACCCTCCTGATTGTGATGTGCAATGCTCATAATGCAGGACGTGCGATGCAAATCAAGTGACCTGCTGCATCACGTCATGCTAACACTTCTCTGTTGTTTGAGCCAAACAAAATCTGCCAGTTTTCTCGTTTCCCGACACGACGCTTGAGGCAGACGCTCCTTTACGTGAGTCAGATTTTAAATGAGGCATCAGCTCATTAATGCTGTGGCCACATATACGGACTGTTAATGGAGTGAATATGCCTCGATTGCTTACTTTTAGCGGCTCCACCTGCAAGCGCACACGCGGTTGAAGTGCGGTGTTAGTCACAGGCAGCTGAAGACGGTGAGCTTTTCATTTAATCAGAAGTTACAATGGGCTGTTCATGCAAACTAATCCAAAATGTGGACGTCATTAGAGATGGTTGAGGAGGTTATAAGTAACATAATTGCAAGCCACAAGTTAATCTGTGAAGTTCATGGTGACACGTGTCGCTCCTCATATTCTCTCTCCACATGTTGTCTCTACCTCTCAGTGTGTGTCAGAGCCGCTGTCAGAGGGCTGGACACAGTGTGTGTAATGAAAGAAGGAGGGGGTTAAGACTTGAATCAATACAATTTTGGCAATAATAACAGTTTTTTTTTTAGATGGCATGAAATGCAATTTAATAGAATAATGAACTTTATTGAAATCAGGAAAGAATGTCAGATAATAGTATCTTTGAAGAAGTGACTTGAAAGAATACTAATTTTAAGGAAGCAAATACAATTTTGACATATATTCCATTGGCCCACGATTTGTTACTTAAGAAATAGTTTTTAGGAACTTTGCTCAGTGTCTCCTGTGTTGTTTTTGTAATGAGCTCCATGTACATGCTCTCTGTGTTTCTAGGGTATCAAAGTGAATTCTTATAATGAAGCCTGGAGTGCCTCTGTGCCCTTGGGCAAGCCCTTTTCCCCACAGCTGCCATGTAAACATGTTTGCAATCCCTTCTGTTTCCCTGCTGTCGTCTTTATGGCAACCGAAGCAGCGGTTTTATTTTCCACCTTTATACAACCACCTGCGCCTTACTCCGCATCTGTTGGTTTAAGCCCGCAGCAGAGCCGAGTTTTTACTAAATCATTCAGTGGGGGTCTTACAGAGCTCATAACACTGTGATTAATCTGTAAGCCTCTTTGGCAGACGTCAGTTCACTGCTGCACAGGACTGGGAAAGAAAGCAAAGTGAAATTTGCCTAAAGCTAATCTTGGCAACAGGCTCAGATTGCTGAAGCAACAATCGGAGAGCAAAGCCAGAGGTGATAGAGACGCGGTGGTGTGCTGCAGGCCAGACACTGATCACCTGTTAACAATAGAATAAACAGAAGAAGATTCAAAGCCCTGTATTTTGATCTGCAGACCTCCAGAAGGTGTACTCTGTCTGCGGCGTCGCTTCTTCCTGCCATTACCTCTTGGTTTTAATTTCACCTGGTTTACTTTTTCTCTGGATTCATCACCACCCCCTAGCTTCACTGCATGGATTGCCAATTTCCTTTTTTTTCATTCATTTTAAAATATTACTCATAACATACACCTGAATATTTAAGTGAGCTTCCTACTACGCCTTACTGCCCAAGAAGACCTCTAGATGAGCTGCATTAGGCCTGCTCACAGTGTCCAGAGCCATTGGTCAAAGGCTGATCAATCTTTTGCTGTGATTGCACCTCAGCTCTGGAACAGTCTTCCACTTTCTATTTGTTCAGCGCATCGGTTTCTGCTTAAATCCTGTCTTAAGACCCATTTTTACAAACCTATCTTTTTAGCTGGTAGATGATTTTAACAGAGCTCCAGTTTCCATATTTTACAGTTTTATTCTTTGTACCGACATTTGAGAATGCTCTGTAAATTATTTCTTGGCAAATCCGGTGTAGCCAGCAGTACCTCCCAGCAAAGACTTCCAAATACATTGCACACATACAGTTAATGTTGTACATGTTAAGGCCGTCTTTGATGGGTCCATAA